GAGAGCAGTCAGGATGTAGAAGATGTCTTTTTGCTGGTGGCAATTCAATCAGAAAGTTGCTGAATAACAAGGGAATAGAATTGGTAGATACCAATATACCAGATTTATGGGTGTGTACAAAAATGCTCTGTGCATGTTTTACACCACTGTAATTTAGAGCACTTTTTATAGCACTATAAAGTTTCAGCGCTCTTAAACATGAAGTGCAGTGTCTGTTGGTGGGGTGGGGCGGCAGGGCTCTGAGCCTCCCTGCATTTTCCAGGCTAGGAGGCAGGGGGCACTCTGCAGCCTCCTGGAACTGGAGGAGAGTGGTGGAGAAGGTGGAGCTGGGCACAGAGCAGGGGAACAGAGAAGGAAAGGGGGGCCAGCAGAAGTGGGGTAGGGAAGTTAGTGGGGAAGAGGTGCTATTCCATTCCCGGATTCCCCCAGGAAGTGCCCAGCCACTGGGTGATGTGCCGGGCTCCCAGCCACAGCTGGCTCTGTGGTCTATGGGTATTTGCTGAGTTCCCCCAACTTCACACATGCCGAGCTGCCATACTTCCCTGACTCATCTAGGATCACAGAGGCCTTTCCCAGCCACTCTGTGCCAGGAGGGAGCAGGTTCCCAGCTGAGCAGGATTGTGTGGAGCCAGTACCAGTGCTTCTCTCCTGCCTGGGCTGCACAGAGCTGAACCAACCCGCTTCCCCACAGCATTGCCCAGCCCAGAGCCTGCCCCATGTGCAAGCCTTGCTAGGCATCCACCAGCCCTCTGGGGTGGCAGGAGCTCCACAGGGCCTGGGGTGCCCCAGCATGGAGCCAGCCCTCCAGCTGCAGTGAGCTGTGCACCAAAGGGCAGGGATGCACCCTTCCCTTTCCTTCCTACCCTTCCCCAGTCCTGTTTAGCCTGATCACTTCTGTCTCAGTCGGCTGACAGAAGCAGGATGGTTTGCTGGCTTTTGCAGACATGGTGGTACCGGAGTGCATGAACCAAACTTGCAAAGCCCATGGGCTACTGGCAGAATCACCAGAAATTTGACAGAAGTTATTAAGAGCACTGTAAGTTGCTAAAGTGATGTAAAATACAGCACTTCAAATGTAATACCTTATTTAGCAATGGTTAATTTAAAGTGCCTTTATCCATTTTTAAATTCTGTAAAGGCATGGACTTCTGTTAAGTCAGAGCAATAAAATGCTTTAAATGGCAAAAAAGCAACTTCTGTACATACTCTATAGGCCCCTAGGTAGTCACCAGGAATAAATGAATCCTTTAATTAAAATGTAGATATTGAAAAAACTGGTGCAACAGCACAAAAAATAGTTGTATAAGGATGATTGTGTGATTTATGCACAATCGGAAGGGTGCTTTTATTTATTTATTGATACAAAGGAGACCATATCCTCTTGGAAAGGATTTGATTTTCTACCTGGGAAGAATCACAAAATACTAAAGGTGCACAATGAAAACCCACAGGTCTAGTGAGGCTTTTGTGCAGTGTGTTTAAATGTCTAGTGGCTGGGCAGGCTGAAGCAGTCTGGGAAAATCCAAGCCTGTTTGGCTGAGTGAGGCAAAATGTTCTGACATGATGCGTGTGCAGACACATTGCTGGCTGAGACAGTATGTGTTACACAAGTATTGCAGCTGGCCTGCCTTGACAGGGCCTGCAAGTACTTTTTAAAAAGTTGGCTTAAGTAGTTTGTTGGGAAAGACCCACAAAACGCAGCAAAAGGAAAAAGGGTGACATGTCATGTGGGAGTTGCCCCTAGCCACAACACCTACCAAAAACCCAATTCAAAAGCCTGGGCAAGCAGTTTGTGGCCTGGTCAAACCCTGTAGGGGTGAGGGGGAGGAGGTGGAATGGTTCAGCAAATAGAGTAAGGGGTGGAGGTGGCTCAGAAGTCTAACCTATTACCGAAAACACCCTGGCTGCTGCTGCCAGGTGCTTTTCCTGCCCTTGCTCTTGTGCTCAGATCAGCAGCAGCAGTACAGGGTCTGTGCACCAGCTGCAGCTGCAAAAGCGATGCTGTGGAACGGCTCTTGCTGCCAGGGCACAGACTCTGCAGGCGTGGGGTTGACAGTTTTGGCAGCCCACCTAAGTTGGTGATTGTGGCTGGTTCTCCTCTCTCCCACACCTATTCATGCTACTGCATAAGGATATACTCTGTTGTATTTACATATTTCAGAGTAAAACGTAGAGCACCTTAACAGCTAGGAAAAATAGTCACTGTATCTGAACAAAAGGAAGGAGTTGGGTTATAGGTGAATGGTTTAGCAATACCCTATTGAAACTGGCGGGACACAGAAAGTTGCCTGTGTTGGCTAATCATGTCCCAGGCAGGGAGAATGCAGTGGGAGAATCCTTGTGGAGGAATGAATAAGACCCCAGATCACCACAGCACTTGAGTACATGCTTAAATCCCATTAACATTAAGCATGTGCTCAAGTACTTTGCTGGATAGGGTTGAATTAAATGAAATGGAGCCTATGTGCATAGCATGAGGCCTTCCAGAAGTTTAGTTTAGGATGGGATATCCCAAAGGTAGATATCCGTTGTGTATGTTTTTGCCCATTCCTATTAAGCAAAATACTTACAACCCCACTCTCTGTCCCCCCCTCCACCCATCCCCCTCCATCTGTCAGCTGTCGCAAAAGGCCCAGCTTGGGACACCTTCTGTCAGTGCTGCTGTGTCTGTTAAGAAATTTCCATTTTGGTAGATGTCAAAACAGGATGGAAGTGTGAAAGGAAAGGGTTGGTGAAAGAGATCGCATAACCACCCATCTTATTAAGCAGTCATTCTCTGGCACAGGCTTTCAGACGGAGATTCTTGTCAAGAGGATAGAAACCGGCTCCAATCACACTTGTGGCATACTATAAATAGGGTCATTTGGGTTTGGGGTAAAAAAATGTTTCTGTGGAAAAAATGGAGAGACTGCCAACTTCTGCTCTGTTTATACCAATGTAAGTGCTTGATCCTACACTACTGAAGTCAGAGGGAATAGGATCAGATCATAAATCTGGTGTAATTCCATTACATTAAGCAAATGTAGTGAATATAAATAAAGAGCAGAATTTGACTCAGACTGGAAGAGAGTGAGCACTACGTCTAGTGTAATTTGCCTTGGCAATAATTTTAATGTTTCTCTGCATGTTACAGAGAAAGGAATATGATTATTAAGAACAAAATATTCTGTGTGCAGTGAATAAAGTCTCACTGTCTCCTATAAAGCTGACTAGATAATGAGGGGTGTATGCTACATCACTTGTTTAAACTGGTGTGTCTCCTGGTGCTCACCTGAGCACACTGAGCTTTGAGGATACATTTGTTAAGGGTATGAACCCTGTGTGAAGGAAAAATCCTATAGAATTTGAGGGTTTTATTGAACTAGTCTCAATCTTCTTCAGAACCAGTTTGTTGTATTTAATACAGCTGATTTAGATAGTTCCTTTTGTTCCCCCTGGCTTCTGGAAAGGGTGTAGGTTGTGGGATAGGGTGTTGGGGCAAAGAAGATGGGCAAAGATAATTTATAAATTGTATATTCAGTGGGATTGTCTTCTATGATCGCAGTGCTTTGGTTCTAGATTGTTGTCCTAGTTAATTGACTCTGGGAAAAGACTTCCGTTCAAGTAATGAGCCAGCAACTGATCTCTCACTCATCTTGGCAGAAGCCACATATGAAGCAAGGGCATTTGTATAATATTAAAGGTTGGCTGGCTTGGAACTCTCTTGCTGACTAAATATGAGCTGACTTGCAGTAATGTTAGCTGCTAAAAAGGGACTATATTCCACCTATATATTAAGCAATCAGGATTCAGTATTCCTCCTGTATGAGACAAAGGGGTTGTATGAATTTGGAAATGCTTTCTTTTGATCAGACCCTATTCAGTAAAGTACTTAAATCTTATTGACTTAAGGGGACTTAAACACATTCTCAAGTGCTTTGCTGAATAGGTGTGGGCTTAAGCTCAAGCTTGAATAAATGTTTTTCTGAACTGGGGTGTTAGAAAGGAACCCTGGCTTTCAAAGTCATTTCTGTGCCTAACATTTTTAAAGCCATAGTTGCATTATGAAATGTTGAAGGGGTGAGAGGTTAATCCTACCCATTATGACACCTATGTTGCATTGGAGATGCAAAGCTAATAAGAGGAATGTTCTGAGACAGGCCTGAATCTGAACACCATATTGTCAGTATGGCAAACCTTTGAGTAAAGTTCACATCCTGTTCTGAACATTGGGGGTCAGTCTCTGTAGTAGGCTGAACTAGCAGTCTTACAGTTTAGGGGAAGTTAGATCCAGTCCCATTTCAGCTCTGAACTTTGCAGTCCTGCCTGATCTCTTAACCACATAGCTTAAACTCAGCCCAAATTTAGTGGTAACAGGAAGAAAACCAGTTCCCTGAATTTATGATGAGTGGTGTGTCTTATATTTTGGGCTTTGTGGAAATATCTGCTTGCTATGGCTTGGATCATGTGAACTCAATTTTATAATGCAGCGTCAATAATTATACTTTAGCTACATTTAAGAGACTAGAAAGAAACTGAATATCCCAGACTGCTAATAGTGTGTGCTTGGTTTGGGACAATGTAAATAATCTCTTTTTTCCCCCTAAAGGTGTTCTGGTCTGGTTTTTCCCATATCATAACCTTTATGATGTTTTATGGCATCCAAGGGTAAAGAATATGAGAGACAGAGATCGTGTGCTTGAAATGCTACTGTGTATCTGTCACCCAAGGTCATAAAATTGCTATGAAGTATATGTACCTGTAAGTCCAGTAGGAAAATATATTTTTTAAAGATATGCCTGTCTAAGGAACAAGACTGGAATTGTTGAGGCCAGACACTTCTAGCACAGTTAAGTGCTGCATACCATCCATTCCTTATGAATACAGCGAGACTTGAAAGCGTCTTTGCAACCTACAGATCCATTTTTGGAATGGTTATATTAATAAGTAACAAGGCTATATATTCTTCACCCATGTTTACCATATTTTTTCTTTTTGTTTGTGCTTAATCCCAACTGTAGGATATTACCAGCTTGCTTCATACCATCTATGAGGTAGTTGATGCATCAGTAAACCACTCTCCAAGTTCAAGTAAAACTCTGCGAGTGAAGCTTACTGTGGCACCAGATGGCAGTCAGAAGAAAAAGAGTATTCTCTTAAACCATACTGGTAAGGATGTATACTACACTTTTTGAAAAGCTTTCCCTCAAAGGTCCCTCTTTGCATTTGATAGGTAGAAAAACTTAAAATTTAAATTAAATTGAGACAATTAATTATGGGGGTAATTTGGTCCCTAAATGCCCATTTGAGATTTTACCTGTAGAGCTATCTGCTCTAATTTAGGAGTCTACATTTGAAAATTTAAACTTCCCCTCTTTTTTATTATTTCTGATTTGCAGGAGTTATGTGCTATGAGATGTGTGGTTGTACTTAAAGTATGCCCTAAGATTAAGGCCTCTTGTACCCTAGGAAGTTATACTATCTAAACTACATTGGTACAATTAAAGTAGTATGACCACCTGCCTTTCAGTGTGGACACAATTATATTTGTACAAGAGTTTTTTATAGGAATATAGATACTCTAGTACAGGAAGAGAAATAACCATATCACTATAAGGTTCTTTGACATCTGTACATTAGAGCTTGTACAAGTAAAAAAAAATCATTAAAAAGAAACATACTCCTAGCCAAAATCATTAAGACTTGATCGGGTCTTAAGCCAATTGGAGAAAACGAGGAACTACATCATCTGTACCTTAAATTCAAATCCTGTGATGCATAGAATCTGTTTATCCTTTTCAGTTAGTCAGTATTTGCTAGTAAAACATCCCTGGCTAATATATGTTGATCAGTGTACATGAAAATACTGGGTTAATGACTGTCACCAGTTATACAAGGGTGGCTCTCACAAATTTCAGAGAGATGTGGCTAGTAGAGTCTGTGTGTAATGTGTTTATTCTAACAGCATCACACATTACAGCATTACCAGCACTTGTCTAAATATAAAAGTTGTACCATTTTAACTGTACCAGCATAATCTGATCATAATTTTATTGCTATAATGGTGCCTTATAACAGTATAGCTTATTCCTGTACAGAAAAAGGAATAAACTAAATAAACTATGCTGTTACAATGCATACAATACAATCTTCTTATCAGTACAACTCTGTGCAGACTAGGGTTTGTATTGGTTCAATGATTTTTTTAAAAAAAAAAGTCATGTCTTTACTGTAATAGTTATACTTCCTGAAATACCCTTGTAACAGTAATTTTGAAATAAAGCCATTTTGTGTACAATGAATGGGAAACTACACAACAGCAGGGACTGTTAGTTATTGAAGCAGCTGACGGGTAGCAATGATTTTGTTTGGCCATGCCCATTCATTTCTTTACTTTTTCACTAGGGAGCCTAAGTTACTTAGGCCCCAAACTCCCAGTGAAAGTCAATTGCGCTTGAACTGCCATGTCCCTTTTGAAGAGTTTGTCCAAAATGAATTATGAGGCATTGACGTAATGACAGTAATAAGTCTGTATGTATTGCAATGCATATACCTGACAGAATAAGCACAGCAAGAATGAAATAACAACTTACCTTTTGTGGGGGACAGATTTGCAGAGCTCTAGGCATAGAACTGAGAGCAAAGCCAGTGAAGAACTGAGGGGGTCTGAAAAGAAACAGCGAGCTTCTCTCAGGTAAGTTGGAAGAACTTCTTTCTCATCTGTGAAAAGGAGTTGTGATAGCCACCCTCAAGAGGCTGGAGATACTTTTTTTTAAATATAGGAATTATAGGGGTTGTCACTTTGGAATGCACAGCACAAATTCATTGATAGCCAGTACCCTGATACTAATGCCAGTATTTATATCCAAGGAAGCTGAGGAAACTAGCACTAGCTAGTCATACATGCTTCCTTTTTCCTTTCATTATTTTGAGAACTTTTTGGATAGTTTGTGCAAGTACTCTACTTTGAAAAGGACCAACAGAGATCCGCCCTTCCCTTACTATAGTTTGTTCTCTTGCATCACCGAAAACATCAACCAGGTCACCAAGGAGAAACATCCAGCTTCCATTTACCCAAGGAACCAGTGCAGAGTTTTTTACTATGCAGCAGGATAGTACTAATATTTGCAAGTACTATCCTGTTGCAGAGTAAATTAGTTTATTCCAGCCTAATAGCAGTGCACATGTAGATACATGGCATTTACTGCACAGCTAATTAGTCAACTGTGCAGTAAACGTCTTGTGTAGATGTGTCCAGTGTCCAATAAGGATAAGGTAATTTACTCCACTTTCAAAGGACCAAGAGTATCTACACAAGGAATACTATGTGCACTGTAAATTCATACCTTAGTTTACTGCCTCAGTAGTTTCCCTATATAAACAAAGGCCAGAGCCCAACTCACTGTGCCCCTAAGCTGCCAGAAACCATTCCTCCTACTTACCACAGAATCTCTCCTCTTGGACTTTTTGAAAATTAGTCAGTTACCAGTTATCAATCTGACAATTAGGGTGTTTCCTATCGGTTAATGCATTTATAGTAAACCTTCAAGGAAAATTAGGTTACTTTCTATTTAGTCTTGGAATGCCCTTCACCACTTGGAAAAAACCTCTATATATTGTTTTTCTATGGATTCCTGCCGGTGACTCAGAATGCATCTATTTCCAATAAAGTACAGACACAGTAGTTTCTTTTATGCACAGCTGCTGGTACAGTTGCAGTCTTTTAGAGATGAGATAAAACAGGCCTATTTGAAGTTTCTCCCTGAAGGAATGTATAATATTATTTTGGATGCTAGTCTAGAATAGTCGTTGCTCCTCTGAAGATGTCTAGTCATGTCAATGGCAAGGTTAGCAAAGATAAGCATAGATTTGCCCCATTATCAAGCCTTCCATCTGCCTTATAGGTGCATGCTATGCTGAATTCCAGAATACATGATAGCCATTTGGGATGTATCAGTTAAAACCAGATTTCTTAGAGTATCTTGTTTTCCATTGGACTAACAGCAAAAAATGCACTTTTCACAGTTCAGTTTATACTGTTCAAATGGGTAATAAAATACTTCCCTCCCCTCCCCAATTTAGGTATCTCCCAATTTGTATCCACTGCTAGAGACATCATTTCTCTATTCAGTGTCTATTTGGTTTAAACTGGGATTTCATTTTTCAGGCTGGGGAAGTGGGAAACACCACAGCAATGACGTTGAAACCATTTCTTCAGGTGCAATTAAAAAAATGCTCTAGCTTTATGTTTTCTCAGCTTTAGGAGTATTTGTCTGGGGAAAATATACTTAGCTCAGCAAATATACCAGCAGGAGGAGCATTCGCTTTCACTTAAAAAAAAAAAAAAAAAAAAAAAAAAAAAAAAAAAAAAAAAGCAGCTGTGCCCTTCTTCTTCAGTCCGGTCACAAATACTTCTAAGATATGACTTCTGTCCAGAACAGTACACCCAGATTCAGAGAGGGGAGAATTATAAGACAGTAACTAATTCCATCTCTTTACCTGAAACCTTATATAGGCTTTTTGTAGCATGAGGATTTCCTGTGGCTTGGTGAATGATTACTTGCAGAGTAACAGCAATGCAGTTCAGGATTTACATCCTCTCTTTGCATCTAGTACTGTTTGCTTCATAATTGATATGTGTTTGCATGACCAGCATTCTTAGATGATAGAGGATACTCATTTCTCTCATTTGAAACCCACAGTAATAGTTGCCTTCAACTGAGGGGAAGTTTCTTACTTCTGTTGCCGTTTTGCCTCTGCCACAGGGTGACAGATGGTCTTTAGGTTCCTTTGCCATTGGGCACATGTTACAACTTTCCTAAGGATTTCTAATTTGCACCCAAATTAGCTAAGCCTTCTCAGAGGTCTGTAGCAGAGTGCCTGATTGTCCCCTGTTGGTGCTGCACCTAGCCAAATGTGGACATTTGTATCTTTAAAAGAAATAAGTCCCACATTTCTCTGCACCAAAGCCAAATTGTTAAGCTGGTGAGTATCCTATAATCTCATCTGTGGCATTGTGGGGGTTCCTTTGAGAACAACAATGAAATATTGCAGTCTTTTAAAAATTTTATGGAAGGTTCCTTCCTTCTTCGTGTTCTTGTGATAAGATATTTAGCAGAATTCACAGATTCGTTGGAATCTGTCAAACCACGCCTTGAGTGTTTCTGCTGTGGCCTTGTACTTGCAACCTCTGAGCTATCAACCATTTGCACCCCTGCCCCCCACAAGTAATGTTTAATTTAATATTCAAGATGAAGTTATTAGGGATGTTTCTACCCCTAAGGTGGGAAGAGTATTCAGGAGGGAGGGATTTTTCATCCTTTAGATACAGTCTTAGAGTTTCCACATGTAGTGCTAAAGTAAACATCCAGATTTATGGCTGGTTTACCCAGCAGGTGCCTTATGCTGTTGATAAAATTGATGGTGAGAAGAGCAATGGCAGGCAACTTTATGATTTGGGGTGTTTTATTTCCTTCCCATTACTCTAGCTGTTTATATCTGCACCAGGCCCCAAAACATCTTTCATTTATAGGGAAACGCTGTCATTTGGAACATACAGGCTTTTTTCACGCTGACCTGCTTAAGTAACTTAGCTTTAACTCATGTAAATGAACTGTTCTCTTTGACTGCGGCCTTCAGGAAATATCCTTTGCGGTTTCCTGACCTACACATTCTCACGTGTATCTTCTGACCCATTCTATCCTGGCCTGACCCTCCTCATAATGACATTCCAGCCTGGGAATTCAGAAAAGGGTTTCACATACTATTCAAAAAAACAGGCAAGCATCTTTTATAAAAACATATATTCTTATACCCTGCAGAAGATTCAGATCAGGTGTTTGATGCCTGAATCTTTCCATGTATATGCAAAATAGCAGTCTGGGAACACCTGACAGAAGCCCTGGTGTTCAGAAATACTTGAGTCCTCTTTGGTAGTGGAGCACATTTCTCATCAAAGTATAATTGCTTCTCTGTGTATATTTGCATTGTTGAATATCATCTTGCATGTTAGAAAGCTTTTAGAATGTGGGCCTGTGGAGGGACTAACACAGTGTTTCTTCAGGGTCTCAATTCATTTACGGTACCAGAAAAAGAATGGTATGCAGTTCAGTTTTGGACAAACACTGCTGTTCAATTATGCTGGATCAGAAATGGTTATGCCTGCGCTATATGAACCTTTCAGTGTCTTCTGTGCATGCAGCGCTCACTTATTGAGTGCCATAGGCAAATCAGCAGCACTCCATGGTCCTCTGTATGCTACCAGTAGCCCATGAAGTGCTTTTTGAATTGCATGCCTATGAGCTGAAAAATTGTAAAATTCCACCCAGATACATATGAGGTACATATGAGACGTGGGCCACTATCAAGGGGGGGAGCTTCCTCCTCCAGCTCTTTTAGATGTCCAAGTGCAGTGTCTTTTACTTCAAGTACACTGGTGGCTGAAGAACTGGGTTCAAAGCCTTCAAAGGTTTCCTGCTTTCCTGGCAAACAGCATCACATGCATAAGTATTTGCATATATCAAAGCAGTGTAAACTTAATCTCCCAAATGCAAGTGACACACTGCAATAGAATAAATCTGGGGATTTTTATCAGGGAGAGTATATATTTTCAGTAGATCCCTAACAACATACCAGTGTCGCATAGGTCTCAGTTCTGCAAGAGAGCAAGACATTCATGTGACAATTCAGCAAAGCACAACGTACTTGACTTCAGTGCAACTATTTTCATGCCAAAAAAGAGGCATAGGCTAAAGTGCATTCAGACTTAGATCTGAATGCCTGGCATCATCCAGGAATGAGTCCTTATTTTGGAACCAGTTTGAAATGGAAAGCCAAGTTTCAGTCTCACCTAAAATTAGTGAGGTTGAATTGGGTACAGAAGAGTGCAGAATCCACTCCATGCTTTCAGAGATGGCAGTGCCCTGATGAATGGTAGTCCATGATATAATTTTAAAATTTTGTATTTTTCTCATCTTATTTGCTATTCTGGAAAAATTGGTCTCAGTTATAAACATCTGTTTATTGGATGTGATAAATTTAAACCTCTCAGCATTATTGGCTACAATACTGTAAGCTCGTATGTGTGTGTGCATGTGCATGTTTGCTCATAAATGAGTGGTATTTCAGATATTTATTCTCAGGAAATAGTTCTGCTATAAATAAAATAGCAAAGCTGAGCAGGAAAAGGAGTCAGGATTATGAAGCCCAGAGTTGCTTATTAGATGTATTTTGGCAAACAGTAGTTATCTCAGATTTTTCCACTGACACCTTTTTGCCCAGTTTCCTTTAGTAAATCCACCTGTGCTGCTGCCTACTTCCCTGAAGCAGAACCACACAGACATTTAGGCCATTTAACAACAAGCTCAGCTGAGCTCAGTTCTTCCCTGTAGAGCTGGGAACAGCCAAATCAGCCGGCAGACTCTCCCTGACATGGCATGATTAGAGAATGTACTGAATGGTTTGGCCATCTACAGGTTGCAGTAAACCCTCAAAGATTTTGTATTTGTGTTTGTGTGCCTTATGCAAATGCAAAAGCATCCCTTGCTCTACAAAACCAGAGGCCAATTCATGAAAGGAAAGAGCAGTTAGTCTTAGGCCCTTCTCAGATACAGACAACCAGGTGTTAAATGTCTTTGCAAGTGAGACCTATCAGTTCAAAGGGCCCAGTGGCTTTACCAAGCCATTAGCTTGGGTTTGAAAATGGTGGGGGAACCAATCTGCAAGCTTGCTGAACTTAAATTATTTTTCCCATTCACAGATATCATTACAGTGACAACAATCCCGAGCAGAGTGGCTGCTACCGCCATTGTGTTGATGAGAACATTGAAAGGAGAAACCACTATTTGGATCTTGCAGGAATAGAAAATTATACATCAAAATTTGGGCCAGGTAACTGTTTAGTAATTTTTATTTTTCAAGCATTTTGTGTCCAGTCCTCCTTCAGCTGCACAGTCCAAATTGGGCACTTGCTTGGAATCTTGGAATGACCATGTTGGTTGACTGATCTATAGCTATTTAGTGGTGATGGACCAACTAGTACAGTGTTCAGACGCAGGTTGCTAGATGGTAAGAATCAAGGCTGGGCTTTCAATGGTAAAGGCTAGGTTTAAGCTGCAACCAGAAAATGTTTTTTGGGGGTCTAATCCAGAACAAAAACCAATGGTGAGTTCATACAAAGGGACTTGATGTCCCTCCCTAAATTCAAAGGGTTAAGGCTGCATATTTGCCATGTTTATAAGTCAATAATTGCCAAAAGGCATGTTGGAGCACACTAGTGTGCTGTGAGAGTAAAAGAAGCATGCCCTGGGATCTCCCTGGGTGAGGATCTCCTACCATGTCTGGTACCATGTGCCTACCCTAGCTTCCCCAAGGGCACTTGCAGCTGCTTCCCTGGGGACTACTGCTACTGCTGCATTCCCCAACCCTGCCTTCCACCAGACAGCCCTTGTGCCAAATACACTGCCTTCCCCACCAGCCCTACAATCACAGCTGTGTGCTTTCCTGTGAACTTAGACCAGGCATGGGCAAAATGCAGCCTGTGAGCTGGATTTGGCCCATGGAGGCTCTTTGTCCATCCCACAGCCAGTCCCTCGGTCCCACCTGGCCCATGGGCACCATCCGGCCGTGGCATGTCCTGCTGCCCCTTGGGCACGCAGTGGGGCTGAGGTGGCTCTGTAGCTGGACTGCCTTTCTAGGTAGCTCAGGCAGTGGTGGCTCCTTCTGGCTGCTGCAGCTGCTGACCCCAGCCCCATGGTACCGGTGGGGACCCAAGCACACAGTTCTGACCTGGCTTGCCCCGTGTCTACTCTGAACTCTCCTGCACTGAGCAGCAGCAGCAGCAGCCAGGCAGAAACTGTTGTTCAGTGTCGGGGATAAGCAGCCTCTCCCCCTTGCCACTGCCAGGCCATTTGTGCTGCAGCTGCCCGGAGCCCATGCTGGGCTGCCCTGCATCTCTGCCGCTGTAACTGCTGCCTCCAGGCTGCCCAGCAGGGCAGCGGTGGCAGTGCAGGGCAGGCAAGTGTGGGCTCTGTGTGACTGCAGCAGGAAGGGCCCACCAGTGGCAAGGGGAAGGTCAGGTTTTTCCCCACACTGAACGACAGATTCTGCCTGACTGCTGCCGCTGCTGAGCCTGGGCAGGCAAGTCTGGAGCAGGCACAGGGCGGGCTGCACTAGGGCTGTGCACTCGTGTCCCCACCAGTACTGTGGGGCTGGGGCCAGTGGCCCTAGCAGCCAAAAGGAACCACCGCTGCCTAGGCTACCTAGAAAGGCAGTCCAGCTGCAGAGCCACCCCAGCCTCACTGCATGCCTGGGGGACAGCAGGATAAGCTGGGTGGGTGGGCAGGGCTGTGTGTGTGGGTTCTGGCTGATCTGCTTCCGTGGGGTTGAGTCCAG